GCCATTGTGGCAGAGCCGTAGAGAATGAATGCTTCCAACTGTTTTAAGTATCCTTTTGTGCTAATTTGTTACAAGAGCTATAGGAAACGGAGACACTGAGATTTCATTTACAACGTTCTAAAAAAGTAAAAAATCTGGAGACTAAGTCAGTGGGTGCGGGGAGTGGGGGGTGACTACAAAGGGACAGTACTGGAGACTGGCCGCATGACTCCAGCCATGCATCAAAACTGTCCACCCCCTGAAAGAAAGTGTATGTGAATTGTAAAAGAATTAAAACGCTAAAATTACCTCACCGGAGTTACTGGTTGGTGAACAGGATGGAGCTCCGGGGTGGCAGCAGGTCTCAGCTCTGCTGTGGGGCAGGTGGTCAGAGGGCTGGATCGCTCTGGAAACATGGAAAACTGCCTCCCCCACACCAGGCAGCCCCTCTGTCCAAGGAGACCCTCTGGTTAGAAACAGCGCGGGGTTTACAACATGGGTGAAACTTGGAAACATTACACTAAGAGAAAAAAGCCAGACAGCTCACGTACTGTGTGACCCACTCGTGACATGTCCCAACAGGCATATCTACAGGCAGAAAGGGGGCTGGGGGAGGGGAGGATGGGGCAGTGACCACCAGTGGCCGGGTTCCTGTTGGGGGTGACGGAGCGTTCTGCAGCTCGATGGGGGATGGCCGGTGCCCTCTCAAGTGGTCAGCATGGTCAGTTATGTGTGTGATGTCACAATAAGCAGTTTCGCTCGGAAGGAGGTGGGGAGGATGGGTTTACACGCTGAGCTGATGCCTCCGTGGATTTGAGCGGGGCCGGAGACACAAGGCTCTGGGTCGGGGTGGTCCCCTTATGGACCCGAGGATTGAGGAGCAGGGATTTGCACCCCCAGTGCTGACAACAGGGCCTCCCTTCAGGCCAGGCATGGGGCACAGCACACTGAGGACACCACGGGCCATGCAGGACCTCATGTCCCCGGTAAAAGGTTCTCTCGGTCACAGCTGAAGCCCCTGAAGCAGCACCGCTCCAAAGAGCCTGCTCTGTGGGCTCCAGGGAGAAGGCCTGCGCCAGCCCTGGCACAGGCACGTTTGCTTTGGCGCTTCCTCCGTCCCCTACCCCTGCCCCCATTACAAAACAAACTCTAAACATGCGATGGTGACGCCCAAGCCGATTAGAGCCCCCAGTCCCAAACCCCGGCTGTACCTGTCCTCTCTGGCCCAGGGGACGTGGTCTCCGTGAGGCTGCAAGGGCTGTGGGGAGGCTCCCGCCGGGTGCATGACACTCACTCCTCCAGGGGACCATGTTCGGAAAGCTCTGAGACACGTGCACTGACTTCGAAAGAGCAGAATGTTTAATGTGAAACAGCCGTTTTAACTAAAATACCAAGTTAGTAAATGGAACAACAGTAGACAATAGGTCCCCTGAATCAGGAAAGTAACTTCGTTTTGGTCTCAATTTTGAGAACAGAAACTTTGTACATCCTTGTATTCAAATAAAGTCGATTTCTTTGGTGGCCATACTTTTGCCTACAGGTCAGATGGCCTAGACCCTCTCGGGCTCTGAAGGATAGGCAGCTCCTGCCTGCTGAAACGGCCATCAGATGGTCATGTCCAGTGGGCCTGACGGGACAGGCCACTGTCAGTGCAAAAGCTGACAGCTGGACATGACGGAGACGTCCAGTTCTCCCCCTGTAGGTGTGAACCAGGTAGGAAATGCTGTGATTCTCTGGCGTCTTGTGTCTGCTTTGAAGGTCACTGGACCCTGAACTGCCATCATCTCCACCTGCCCACAACAGGCTCTGAGGATTGCACCTCGTGAGCTCACACCCAGAAGACTCAAGCTCCCATCATAAAAGGCCTGGCTCAATAAGCCCCGTTTGGTAAAATACAAAGAAAACCACATGTAGGCATATCACAGTTTTCCAAATTGTAATTTTGTAAGTTATTATCATTTGAAACAGAACATAGGAAGGACAAAAATAAGATGCAAAGCTTGTTTCCACACAAGTTGAATATGAGCTTCATTCATGTCGCTTAAAAATAAACTATGAGTGGCATTTACGTTTTCTTCTGAGATGTTACAGCATTCGGGTTGGGAGAAAATATTTACATTCTGTCCCCCAGCACTTGAGAACCAGTTACTTCTGCACTGTCTTCAGCTATTCGTCCAGACACCAGAGTTCATCAGGAAGAAACTGGTGCTTAGGCTCAGCAGAGCCGTCTAACCGGGGTTCAGGCCTCCATGAAGCAGTGGCCTGCGTCAGTGGATGCACTGTAATCAGTTGATAAGTGGCGTTATAACGGCAATGGTACATTTTTTTTTATAGAATTTTTTTTTAATTGGGGAATTGGGGGAGGGGAACAGCCAAGTTGTTGTCCTTCAATCTTAGTTGTGGAGTGCACAGCTAGCTCAACTCCAAGTCCAGTCACACCATTCAGCTGAAGGTGCCGCGTTCAATCTTAGCTGCGATGGGCATAGCCCACCATCGAACAGGCAATTTTGTTATACAGCTGAGCCATCCTGCCACCTGTTGGCAGCTCAGCTCAGGTGCAGCTCACTGGCCCATGTGGGAATCGAACTGGCGGCCCTGTTGTTCAGAGCGACAGGCTCTTAACCAATTGAGCCACTCGACCGGCCCCCAACGGCACACTTTTAATCCAAAACAAAACACTGGCAAGAGTGCTGCATGCTGGGCAGGATGGGACACCAGGAAAAGGCAGTGGCAGGAACCAGGCCAGTAAGGGGCACACAGAATTGGGGTGGCCTGAGATCCTTCCCCCATCACACGCTTTGGAATCACTTCCGGTTAGAGCAAGCTATGAAAACAAAACCCGTAAAAGAGCACCCAGTGAAAAATGCTGCTTTAATAATGAACCAAGACCAGAAACCATAAAGGAAAGGGGACGAAATATTAGACCACGTAAAAATTCAAGGTGTGTGTACAGCTAAGTAAAAATCTTCAAGTTCAAATAAACACAAAGTAGAAAACAACGATAAAAGGTGATTATATAAAAAGTCCTTACAGACAAAATACACCAACAGAAAATCAGGCAGACACACGAGTAGACAGCTTCCGAAATAATCCCAGACGGCGTTCCTAAGCGCTCGCTTGAGCTCACTGCGAGTCAGGGATCGCTTTCCTCCATCAAAGTTTGAAAAGACTGTTCAGGGCTTGGTCCTGGGAAGATGTGCGGACACGGTGCTGGGCATTGGGGTGGACAGCATCCCGGCAGGGAGCGGTGACAAGCATCACGTCTTACCCTGCAGACCCCGTGCCTGGCAATTCCAGCAGGACACGTGTGCAGGCACGTACGCACAAGGACTCCGGTTTCCAAAACATCTACAACCACAACTACAGATAAGCAGCTTTGGACAATTAGAGTATCCTGGTATGTTCATGAGTTTAAAAGTGAAGGACCATCCCTATAATGTCGCTGAAAATTATGAGCTTCATCCCAGAAGGCACGGGGCTTCCAAGAGTGGTCATCTGGAGGTGGCAGCTCAGGGCTGTTTTCCGGCCGTACCTTCTTTCTACACATTCCTATTTATTTCACAATGAACACTTTGGTTTCTGAGCTTAAGTCCCGGAAGTGTTGTAATCAATCAAATGCCTCTTACAGAAAGAACTAGTCTAGTTACATCGTGTGTGGCATCTACAGCTTGGTTTGGTTGCAGAAAGAAAGGCACCTGTGAAACTTTTAGTCACCAGGGGCAGAGGGCCGAGCCGTCTGGTGGGTGGAGGGGCAGGGAGGGGGCTCCTTGTATTTCAGGTCACCCTGCGAGCAGGGGCTTCTGCCAAGGGATGTGCGCCAAACCAGGATGCCACTGAGCACTAATAGTGGGGGGCTGCAGAGCACCGAGGCAACTGTCCCCACCAGACACTTGGCCAGTGGGGTGGAGAGGGAGGGCAGTGAAACCTGCCTGCCGGGAGAACCAACAGAAAAGCCCACAGTGGGGCCACAGGAGCAGTGACGTTTATGTCGACAGTTGGAAAACAAACCCCTAGTGCTGTGGAAACCCAGCCACCAGGTAGGGGATCCTGGAAGCCCCATGTCTGCACCCACGTTCAGGGGCCGGGGCGGGGGGGACAGCGGCCCGAGCTCCATGCTAGCCGTCGTCTACATAACGCTTCGAACCAGTGGTCTTGATGGCCCCCACACGCCAGGGACACTATTGTGCCCGATACCTGTCCAGGGTGGGGAGTTGAGGCCTGGGCAGGGGGCGGCCCGGCTGCCTCAGCCTGTGGGCCCTTGACCTGCTGTCCGTGAGCCTGTCCGTGAGCCTCGAGACGTGGGGTGTCTTCACTGTCCTGAGGGAAAACTCCAGGGCACAAACCAGAGCCTCTCACACTGGATAGGGTGGCTCTGTAGCTGACCCCAAAGCTGATGCCACTGTGACTGAGCAGCCCTCGGCGGGAGGGCCCCCCCATCACCCACGTCCCTGTCCCGTTGTTCTGTAAAGACTCGAGGCCGGGTTGACACTGCAGACTGGTAGGGAGTCACAGGAGCCCGCCTGCTTCCTCACCAGTCCCAAAGCTGTCCCCACGCGCTGAGGACACACTTCCTCAGACACGTTTTCCTAGCTTCACATATACTTGGATACAACAGAGGGGCTGTACCAGGGGAAATACGAACTAGGAACTATATAAGTGTGCAGGAGGCCTCCTGCTCCCTACCCAAAGGTGGGGCTCAGGTGCTGGCTGGGCGCCCCGACACCATGCAGGCAGAGGGGGCCCAGGCTCGCTGGCAGGGCCAGTTGGCCGAGCTTGCCTGACAGTAACGACTGCGGACAGACGTTGACTGTCATCACCTCAGCCCCCACGCGGAGCTCAGAGGCCAGGCCGTCACCTGTGCAGGTGGCAGGGTGTCCTGCAGCCCAGCCCCACCTGGCCGGCCCCAGCTGCGGGCGGCTCAGATGACGCACGCATGGGCTATTCCTCAGCCACAGCCCGGCCGGACTCTCAAAACTAGGGCCTGGGTTCGGTAACACACAATTCTTTCCCTGGGAAGGGTACAGAGTACAACAAAATTAGTCACTTTTATTTAAAGAAACATTAAAAATAAGTGTGCAAAATTAAATTTCATGATTAAATACACATAAAAGTAACATGCATACTTTACACTGAAACCCACATACAAAGTTAGTTGATTACATGACAGTGAAAGAGCCAGCAAATGGAGGACTTGCTGCTGCAGATTTTAAATGTTTGCAACCTGAAATCAAAACCATAAAATCAGGCTTCTTAAAGGGAATTTAAGGAAATTAAACAAACACATACCTCAAGTAGGACTAACGACAGACAGCCCTAAGCCATTTTAGTCACCAAATGTTAGAGAAACGCTCGGCGCCTGTCACTCTCTAGACGTTAGTGTGCAGTTCTCGTACGTGGGGGGCGGGGGCCGTGGGGCGCAGGTGCGGGCACTGCCTGCTGAGGTGCCACACGGCTCCCTTCACGCCCTCTACCAAGTGACGCCTCCTTCCAGGACTATCTGTAGAGTCTGTGCTTTGCTGTCCCTGGCACAGGACAGGGAGCAGCTGGACCCTGTGTGACACACACAGCGCCCTCCACAAGGGCACCAGCACACGCACACACGGCCAGGGCACGGGCTCACAACGGGAGCGGCGAGGACGACGCGGGGCTCGGGACAGCTGTGTGTCCACAGTCAGTGGGAGAAAAACTGCTGCCCCTTTTCTAAGGCAAGCTGCTGGTATTGTTCCGTTTAAATCCGGTTATGCTGTAAGAACTGACATTTACACACTAACATTTCCCCACCGAGACACAGTAAAAATGATGGAATTTGGTGCCAGAAACAAATCTCGATGTGTTCATCCTTTCTCAGCCCAGTCCCCAGGTTTGTATGGAGCCCCAGCTATAGGTGCGAGAAGCAGAGGAACCACTAAAGCCAGCGTCCCGGGGGACTGAGGGTAACCAGCCAGCAGCCGGGCTTGAGCTGCTCAGCCGCATGAGTGTCTGCAGTGCCTCGACGGCGGTTTGTTCTTAATACTGGAAACGCAAAGCCTTGCTCAGGAAAAGGGACAGCCGCGTGTGGCCTGGAGACCCAGGTCCCGGGCAGTCCCTCCAGCCTGTCACCCACAAGGCCCCAGGAGCCCACGGGGCGCACTCAGCACTCGGCGTGGGCTGCACTGCAGCTGAGGACTCACAGCTTGTCGTCGGTCATTTCTAGAAACTGGGCGTAGACGTCGCGGATGCACTCGCCCTTGGGGTTGAACAGGAATTTGTAGTAGCTGCCGTCTGCACAGATGGCTGCGATACAAGGACACCATGTCACTTACACGTCTCTCCCCGGAAAGTTAAAAGCGGGCGGCCCCCCGGGAGCTGAACTGCACACGGCCCTGCGGGCACTGAGCAGCTGATGTGTGAATTTGGGGTCTGCCATGGTCTCCCCTCCTTCCCCAGCACACACACGGCCAGGAGGTCCTGCTGTCCTGGGGGTGGCAGGGATCAGAAAAAACCTTCTTTGGTCATCAGTTCAAAAAACCAACTGATCGGCCCCAGGATTTCCTGGAGAGCCCCAGAAGGCAGAGAGCTGGCAGCGCGCGAGGCTGTGCAGACACTGAGTGGGGCGCACGGTGTCCCCAGTGGGGCAGGACCAGCACTGATGACAGCTGACGGGTTGTCACTCTCGCCTCGGAAGGGCTGCTTACTTACCAATGACAGCGTTTGGCTCTGTTCCAAAGGCACAAATGCATGGAGAGCCTGAGGGGACCTGGAACTTGGAAAAACTCCACTTGGAACTGAAGTATTTTGGAAGGAAACTGGCTGATGCCAAACTATGAGGACAAGGGAAAAAAGAATGGAAGTTATGTTCACAAAATCAGATGCAGCTCCTTTAACACAGGCTTAGCCTTCATGATTCAAGTTCAACTTTTGCTTTTAATTTTTTTTCTTAAGATTTTATTGGGGAATTGGGGGAGGGGAACAGCCAAGTTGTTGTCCTTCAATCTTAGTTGTGGAGGGCGCAGCTAGCTCAGCTCCAAGTCCAGTCTCCATCCTGCCACCTGATGGCAGCTCAGCTTGGGTGCAGCTCACTGGCCCATGTGGGAATTCAACCGGCGACCCTGTTGCTCAGAGCTCGTGCTCTTAACCAACTGAGCCACTCGGCCAGCCCTGCTTTTAATTTTTAATTTTTCACTTGAAAACACTTAAGTCCCTACAAACGGCTGTTGAATAAACCCAGAAGGGGCACAGGCTTCCACCGTCACTAAATTAACTGTCTGAGCAGGCACACATTACGACAGCTGTCAAGAGTCCAGGCCCCAGATCTCGTTATCGGAAAGGGGCCTGGAACTGCAGCAGACGCCCCAGGGAGCTCAGGACGGGGTGTGGTGGGGCCACCAAAGCAGCAGTCAGTCCTTAGCTCTGGGGACCTACCTAGACTGTTTATTCCTTTTTGGATCTTCAGCAGCAAAAATGTGTACTGTGCCGTGGTCGCTGGACACGCAGATGAGGGACGCGTCCTGATTGAAGTTAATGCTGCAGAGAGACCAGCTGGCATCAGCTCCATGTGGGTGGGGAAGCCCAGCCCAGCCCTCGGCTGGCGCCTCCCACCTCAGCCTCCCCTACTCCAGGCAGCAATGTTAAGAACCACCCCTCCATTAACAAGCCCCAGAGGGTCACAGCCAAGGAACCACCTGGGGTCCCACAGGAGGTCCCTCCTTGGGTGCTGAAGCCCCGGGCTGGACACCAGGGATAGGGAGGGGCTTCCTGCAGCCCTGGGGGCCTGCCACTCAGGTGAGAAAAGCCCACCTTTCCAACAACCCTGCCTTCTCGGGGCGCAGGCTGCCCCTGTGAAAGTGGGCATCCCCTGGGCTGGGCAGGCGCCTGCTTGGGCTGGAGGGACAGAGAGCAGACAGGCAGGAGCACCTGCTGCCCATCACAGGCCCACAGGCATGGCCACTACATTTATAAGTTGATTACGTCTCTAACTCACAGACCCAGTGCTGCTCAACACCCACAAAAGTCTCAGATTCAGAGAATGAAATCCTGCCCCAGCAGGGGTCCAGCCACTTCAGTGCTGTGGCCGCCAAGGGCAGTGGTAACCGCCACGGTCTCTCAGAAGCCTGAAGTTATCACAGGTGAGTTAATGCAGCTCTAGGAGGGGCCTTAAAACCCCGCAGAAATAAGCGGAAGGACAATGACACGATAACATCGAAGTGGCCAATACTGATAAATGCTGATAGGGTGCGGGGTTAACGGTGATACTATTCTTTCTTCTGTGTGTACGTGCTTAAGAAGCTAAGAGTCAGTAAGGATGAAACAAGCTGCACGTGACCCCCTAACCGCAGACCCTCCTGCCCGCCTCGGGGGCCTTGAGTTGCCCTCCAAACCACACAGGGCCCGTGTCAGGAGGAGCGCCGACCCAGCCAGGGCCCTCTCTACACAGAGCGGCGTGACGTGTGTCCTCACCAGTAAATGTTTGCCGCCTGCGATCCTCTCCGTAGCTCCTGGATTAAATGCCCTGATGAAGTATCAAATATTCTTATAAGGGTCCCCTTTGAAAAACAGTGAAGTGTTTCATTATCAAAGACTCAACAATGTTTTTGTTAGTTCTTAAATGACTTACATTCACAAGCCCACTGGCCCCCGTGGCCCTACCCCAAACACACCCACATCCCCTAATACCCAGCTTGCCCCTCTGTGGCTCCCAGCAGTGGGTTGGTAGCTCCTCCGTCCCATAGCACTGGGCAGGGAAGAGGGGATGAGGGAGACCCAGGGCCCAGATGCTGGGCGAGAGTCTTCAGCTAAGCCTGTGGCCCTGTTCCCCTGGTGGACACCGGCCTGAACTGCCCCTTGAGTGGCATCAGCTCACTAGAGCAATGGCGCCTTCACGGTCACTCCCAAAGCCAGTTGGTAAAGTGACACCAGGGTCAGGCTGCCTGAGAGATGAGACACGGCCAAATCAAACGACTTCCACGGCTCATCTCCTGGGAGAAGCTGACCAAGAACCTGAGGCGTGGGCAGCCCCGGGAGGGCCGGCCCCGCCGAGCCCACAGCAGAGCCCACGGGTAAGCAGGGAGCGAGGGCGGCTCTGGGACACGCACTTACTTTTTCCGACGCGGTTGCGATTCTTGTTCCCTGCAGGTTGAGAGCAATGCAGCTGAGGACGCCCTCGTGGGCAGGAATGTCCACGGGTGGCTTCTCAGTGCTGGCCAGGTCTACGAGCTGCACGTGCCCTGTGTGCGTGCCCGGGAAGGCCAGCAGGGAGTTGTTACTGTTGGGGCACAGGACACAGAGGCCTAAACAGACACGGAGAACCGTCAGGGTCCACGGCCACCTTCGAAGCTTCTTTCCCACAAGGAGGCTCATCTGAAACCCGCTCTCTGCCCGCCAGTCACCACGGAAAAACTAGGGAAAATCACTTGCGGGTTCCATTCATATCAGAATCACAAACTCTCTTCACTGTCAAGGGGACCAGAGGGCCAAGCAAAGCAACCTCCTTCCCATGAGACTGTCTATGGTTGGAGACGTTTGCTAAACTTCCTGAATAAACTTCATGAAATGTCTGTCTCCCACGGTGCCAGCTGCTGAGAATGCAACATCATGAAGTCTGAGCCAATCCGTTAGCAACGACATAAGAAGACCAAACACTTAAGAGTAAGTTTAAGGATGGATGTACGAGACACTAACGCTGCAAACAAAGGACCGACAGACACGGCTACACTACTATCCTGGGTTTGAATCTCCATTGTACAGCCAGTGCGATCGCAGTCCAAGTCTCCGCAGGCGTTTCTGAAGGGACAGGCAAGCTGACATTACATGTCCTCAGGGACGCAAAGGCCCCAGACCAGCCAACACATGTCCCGTAGTAAGAGCATGAGTGGACGACTTTCACTACCTTGTTTCAAGAATTATTTTAAATCAGGTCAGTGTGGTATAAAGACATAAACACAAGTCACTGCAACAGAATGAAGAATCCAGAAACATCTTACACTCATTTGATCGAATAAAAGTAACAAGGTAATTCACTGCAGAAAAACCGTCTTTTTAACAAACAGTACCAGAAACTGGAGGATATCCATGTAGAAAAAAAACCTGAGCCTTCGCCTCACGCAATGTACAGAAATTAACTTGAGGACCGGCGGAGTGGCATGTTGGTTAAGAGCTGGCTTGGGACGCCAGAGGGCCCCGGTTCGGATCCCACATATGAGGGCCAGTGACACTGCCCTCTACGACGGCATAGGCTGCACCCCCTGCTGCAGTGGGTTGCCATGGGCTACCGTGAGTAGCCAGCAGCCAGAGTGAGCGGCCAGCAGCCACCATGAGCGGCCGTCCAGAAGCTGGCGACTGATCTGCCTCGCCCGGGAAGAGCGCAATGATGGTGCCAACTTGGGCCAGTGAAGCAACGTCCTCCACAACTAGACTGAGAAACAAAAGGACAGCAACTTTTCTGTTTCCCTTCCCCCAATTCCCCAGCGCTGTTCCCATCCCCCCAATTCTCCAATAAAAATCTTAAAAAAAAAAAAAGGAAGAAATTAACTTGAAGTGGATCAAAGACTTGTGATCTAAAGTTATTAAACTTCTATAAGAAAACATAAAAGAAAATCTTTACATGTTAAAAAGCCACAGACCAACTGAAAACATCTGCAGGACTGTGCCAGGCAAAGGGCTTTCTCTAGACCATAGAAGGAATTCTTAGAACTCTGAATTCTTGAGCTGGAGTAAGATACAAAATTCTAAAGTGGGCAAGAGGTTTGAAAACACTTCACAAAAGATGTACAAACGGCAGTGAGCACATGGAGAGGGGCCCCCGTCACTCGTCCTAAAGGAGGTAAGTGTCACGACATCCACACGTCTAAAGTTCCAAACACCAACACCACCAAGTGCTGACGACGCCATGTCACAGCTGGAACACTCATAAATCACCAATGGGGATGGAAAAGGACACAGCCGCTTTGGAGAACATTTTTGTTAGTATTTTACAGAGTTCCACGTATGTTTACAATATGACCCAGCAATTACACTCCTCAGGACTCACTCAAGGGAAACGAAAACACGTCCATGCCAAGGCTTGTACGTGAAAGTCATAGCAGCTTCTCCTCATAAGAGCCACAAACACTGGCGTAGATAAACGACGGGGGTCTGTCCACACTCCGGAATATTCCACAGCGATAAAAAGGAGCAAATGATAATACGCACAGAAACATGAAGGAATCTCAGAAATACTAAGAGAAATACAGCAAACACACCTCAAAAAGGCAGAATCTCAACGTGAGGTGGGGGCGGGGGGAAAGAGCCTTGGGAAGCTTCTGGGGAATGGGGCTAGTTTGTCTTGACTGTGGCGGTAATTATACAACTGTTTCCAATTACTGAAATGTATCAAATAATATACTCAAAATGAGTGAGTTTTATATAAATTATACCTCGATAAGTCTAGGAGGAAAAACCCCAAAACTCCTAAAAAGCAAGCCAGCCAATATAATGAGTATCAGAGTCAGCCAGAAGAAAAGGAAGTGCCTCAGAACGTAAAAGGAACACAGATCCAGGACCCACACAGAGCTCCTGAATGGCCGACAGTCACTGTGAAAAAAACCCCGTGAAGGCCCCACTCCCCCATGAGTCTGCTGGGAGAGGCAGGTGAGGTCTCAGAACCACTGCCTATGTCACCCAGGAGGGAAGGGCGCAGAAGGGAAAAGCTACCTCTCCCAGAACCGCTCCCCAAACCCCCCCCCGACACCCCCCCTCCCCCTGTGCCTCAGGACCACTCCTCAGACCTGCGTGGAGGAGGGGTACCCAGCACAGGTCAGCATCCCTGCCTGGACCAGACCCGAGGAAGCCAGGAACCATCGTCATCCTCCGAATTGCTCACCTTTAGGGTTGTAGCAGGTTTCAAAGACGTGCAATTGATGGGGATTGTGTGTGAATGTAAACACCTTAATCATAGAGTCCAAAACCACCACAATTCTGGAAAGAAAAAACCACAATCAGAATTCCTATAGTCAAAAGCGACACTCAAGCATTTCATCATCTGTGTTCTTATCCTTTGGAGCCTCAGAAACGCTCCACAGGACCCACAAAAGATTGTCCTTCAGTCCGGGGCCGGTGCAGGAGGGCTCTTTGGAGCAGGTCACCTGAGGGCGCGGTCAGCACCAAGGAGCCAGCGCCCGGCGCCTGGGGAGAGGCTGCCTGCGGACTGTCTGATGGTTGTGCCGTCTGCCTGGCCAAAGACCTGAGTAGAGCACGCGGGCAGCAAGTATGCTTCCACTGCTTCCTGGTCCGCCCTGGACAAATGCCAGGCAGCGGGTCCTTGACTGGCCCCCGTGTTTGCACGGAGGGTCCCTAAACACTGACATCACTGGAGTCACAGATGGATCTAAGGACACAGGGATGACGTTCACTTTGCCGGGTGCCTTTGTCCTCCCACAGTTCACCTTGCCGGGTGCCGTTGTCCTCCTCCCACAGCTGAGTGTAATATGTAAATCAGGCCCAAATTACTGAAGCTTGTTCTGTCTTCTCAACCTGCTAGAAAACACTTCAATATTCTCCTGAACACTATGGAGGACTGGCTGGCTTTCAACAAGTGCGAGTCAGTGACACCTGCACACTAAGAGTCTCCAAATGGAAAACGTTTATTGAGGCAGCGTTTGGAAAAGCATGGATGAAGGGTGAGGCAATTCCAGGTTCTAAACTGGTGTCCTCAGTCTGTGCCTGCTGGGTGGGGCCTGGTCCGTGCCAGGCTGTCCAGCCCCTTCCCCTACCCACTCCCTGCCGCAAGTGACCCTGGGAGCCAGTTCAGTTCCCAGGCGGCAACAGTACGCTTTGTGTTCTTTGGGTCAGAAACTCAGAAACTACAGCCATCACATTTTATTTAATACATGATTTTCCTTCAGTGTGAAAGTATTTCATCCATCTTCAGAGAAAGTGACTCTTCCACTTCTAAAATCCAGATACCAAACCTACCTATCTCGCCGCAGTTTGACCGCCTTGACTTCTGTGGAAAATTCTATTTCAATAACAGTCTTCTTTTTCAGGTCGTCCCAGATCATCACTGAAATGGCAGAAAGAATCTGTGAACACAGTGACGAGCAGGCTGCTTCTGAAGGGGGTGTCAGGTCACAACCGCCTCAGCAGGGACAAGAAGCCTCCCAGGTCTCAGACCCACCCAGCACCTGCACTGTGGGCCTCCCCCTCAGACCCACCCTCGCCTCCCAAGTCTCGGCCCCTTCCTCTCCCTCACAACCTGGCCAGCACTTCAGGCCACGAGAGTCTCTCTTTCTCTCTCTCGCTCTCACACACACACACACGTGCACACGTGCGTTCATCTCTGCTCTGCCAGTCCTTCCTGGCTTTTAGGCAAACATCTCCCCATCCCTCTTCCTGTGGTTCCACTTGATGGGGCCAGAATGCACGCCTGACCACACTGACTTTGGGCTCAAGTGCTACAGATAAGCCTGGATCCAGAAAAGAAAGGGTTCGGTTTCCTCGTGGAGGTAAGAGGCACAAAATGCCAGGGCTGGGGGTTTCTTGACCCGCCCAACTGTTCTCGCTCTCCATGTTTCGTGGGGTTAGCGGCTTGCACCCCAAGGGCTGAGATAACTCAGAGAACCTTCAAGGATGAGAACGCTGGCCGACAGTGCTGGGACGCGGCAAGGGCACATGGCATGCGGCCATTTTTAGCTTCTTGACTTGAAAAGCCGTGTATGAAGTGTGAGGTGAGCGAAAGTACATTCTCCTCGACAGTCAAGTCATGGGCAAGGCGGCCAAGGCTGGAAGGGAACAAACGTTTCCCTGAAGGTCCTGACACCACGACCAGCACGAGTCCTGGGGCTAAATTCAGGTTAAGTTTTGCCCAAATGGACTAAGTGACCTAACTTTCAAATCAAGAGATAACTCAACACCAGCCTGCAAGAACTACCAAATGCATTATTAATAATGTACAGTTTATCGACTACTGAAGACGTTAATTAAAATGTATAAGGATTAAAAAAATACATTTAAGGGCCAGCCGAGTGGCGTGTTGGTTAGGAGCTGGCTTGGGACACCAGCTCTGAGCACCAGGGCCGCCGGTTCAGATCTCACATGGGCCAATGACGCTGCGCCCTCTACAGCTAAGATGGTGAACAACAGCTCAACCTGGAGCTGGGCTGCGGTGAGTTGCCAGCGACGGAATAGGCTGCAGTGGGCTGCTGTGAGCTACCATGAGCAGCTGGCAGCCAGCGTGAACTGCTGTGAGCCACTGTCCAGAAGCCGGCGATTGATCTGCCTCGCCCGGGGAAGAGCACAATAATACCAACATGGGCCAGTGAAGCAACATCCTCCACAACTAGACTGAAGAACAAAAGGACAGCAACTTGTCTGTTCCCCTTCCCCGATTCCCCAACGCTGTTCCCTCCCCGAATTACCCAATAAAATCTTTAAAAATATATATACATATATTTGAAACATTATTGAAAATATATATTTTTAATCTTACAAAAGCTTAAACAAACCCAGTTCTTCTTTAAAAATTGTCTTTAGCACTCTACAAAAAGTACATTTAAATTTTTCCCAAAATTTGCTGTTAGAAATTGCTTTCTCCTAAGTCTATAAATTCTGAAACACCCTCATTCTTGGAATTTTTTACAGAGAATAAGATGTTAAAGGTGGAGGACATTCTAGAGATTTCTGATCCAACTGCCCACCCCCCCACACACACACCCAGGGGTCACGTGACGCCTCTCCTCCCACACTGCCCCGGTGGGGCCAGGCTCCTGCTCCCTTTCCTCATCAATGGCGGCCGAGAAAATTCTTCAGGACAAGACAAAGCAACAATACGGCACTGGCACTGCCGCCTGTCCCCAAGTAGCCCAGGTAAACAATCCGTATCCACTGCAAAGCCCACCCCTGCCACCCGGCTCTTTGAGCACCGCTCTTTCCATGTCACCTCTGGGTGACCTCTTCCAGGGCTCACGGCCACAGGCACTGCATACCAGCCATGCTGCAATGACCTGGACAGCGACCCAGGCTTTCGGACCTTCAGTCTGTGACAATAAGTTGGGCAGGTCTATGCACACAGAGCCCGGCGCTCAGGAGAGGTTATCAGAGCAAACTCTCACCAGAGGACAGTTCCGTTTTCAGGGTCACGGTCACGCGGTCTGGGCTCCTCTGGGCCCAGGGCAGGTCAAGGTCGCTGCCCACCCAACACCCTCTGCTCAGGCCCCAGCTACTCCCCACTGCACGGGCTCTCAAGCCCAGGGCACATCCTGGAAAGCCTCTCTCGCTACCGCCCTTCTTCCCGCCCCCACCAAACCTGCAAGAGAGCAGCCTCCACCTCCCACCCACTCTGCAGCCTGTCACCAGGAGGCTCCAACTCAGCAGCACCCCAAGGCCGCCAGTATCACTCAGGTCACCAGGCCCAGGGGCCTTTTCTCAGCCCCATGCCCCCCCTGCCACCCCCCAGCACTGGACCCTGAGGACCACACTCACTTCCCTCTGCCCCCCCCTTCTGTGCTTTCATCTCTGCCTCCAATACTGGTGTCTCCTCGCTGCCATTTCACACACTGCCTCCAGGCTAGGCATCCCTAAGATCTGGTGATTGCTTTCCCAACCACACCCTCAAGAGCCAGACCCTGTACACTGCAGTCTCTCTGTTTCTCTCTCTCTCTCTCTCTCTCTCTCTCTCT